ATATATATATATATATACCTGATGTCTGTAAATGTCAAATGTCATATCTTGTCTTGACATAAAACTCCAGCAGAAGAAGAGCGATCCCAGAATGGCCGGTATGGTAATCTGGGAACTTTCTGACACCTGTTGGAAGCAACAAGTACTGTAACCAGGAGAGTCACAAATTAAAGTAGAGGGGAGTAGTGGGAAGATAGACACTTTGGAAAAATGCGTGCGAAGAGGGGGGAAAAAATTAAAGAACCTCAGGGCGTAACAGTACATGGAGGAGGAGGTTCATCGTGGTGACCCCTGGTGATCGTTATTGTACATAGTCAGACAATGTTATGGAAAAAAGTTCAGGCTCAAGTCTAAAATTATTAAAACTCCGAGGCCATTTTGGTGTATTTCATAAATGACTTTAAGTGTTTATATTTAAATGTCGATGTTTAGTTAAATGCCCCAACCCAGTAGCCAGAGAACAAGCACTGGTCCAACAGGTGCAGCAGCTCGGCTGACCAACCATCAGTAGCTTCGTGTCCTCACCAATGGTCCATGACCCGGATGGTTTTTTTTAACTAATTTTTAAAAGGCTGTGTAAGTAAATGTTACTGAAGATATTTGTGGTATTCCTGTTCTCCATTAACCTCTTGTTTAAACTGACTCTTTAAAAGGATTTTAATACCAAGCCATGACTTTGTGACCTTTTCCTGGTTGATTTTCTTTTCAAATACTGTAGAACAAAAATAAACAGAAGCCATTTGTCTGAGTGCGTTCTGCTGTTTAGCATCAGCTTGAAAAAAACAAAAAACTCAGATATATTATTGCAGTGATTTTGCTTTTGACCTTTGACTTCCTAATTAGAAGATGTGAGCTCCTACTCTTTGACCTTTTGGTCACATCAAAGAAAAAAGCATTTAACAAGGCGCCTTTGACTTTTTACCTGTGTTGTCCGTCCAATCCCTGCAAGTGTTGATGTTCTGTTCCAGCACAGCCCTGTTAGAAACCAGTGAGCTCACTAATGAGGACACTTCCCTGTGTGTTGTGGCCTTGAAAAGTTTTGACACAATGGTATAAAGTTAAACACAATAGTATTTTATGACACTTTCCAAATTCAGAATAAAGAGGACAATGAAGTGGAATACCCGTGCTTGTCCCTCATTGCTTTTTGGAGCTGGCGCTGCTGTACTTTTTTGTTCCTTAAAATACCTTCTGTAAGAAAGTGCTTGTTTAGCACATTTCCATCAGAGGAGCAGAATTGGCTGGATAAGGAAAAAAAAAACAGCAAAAATGAAGATCAAAACTTACCAACTTTTACAGAAATGCTTTCTTAGGTACTTTGTGGCTGTTACTGTGGACATTGAGGTATTTTTGTCCAGCTGATACTGCATAGCTGTGACATGGATTTTCCAGTTTTTGGATCAATTAAGTTTTTATTTGTCTGTTACGTACCGTAGAGTTGCACATTTCCAGAACAATTAAAATGATTCATAATTTGTATTTTTTTTATTGACCTTTTGTCTGAAACAGTCAGTTTGGACAAATGACAAGAAAGAAGAGCTAAAAGAAATGACTGAAAAGAAAAAATGATATGATAAGTTTAAGTTTATGTTTTATTTTGTACTGTTCTTGTTCCTCTTAAATGACTGTGGCTCTGGTGTTGTTCCAAATATTTAATGAACAGTACAATGGGCTCTTAGAAATATCGTCAGGTGTTTAACCTTGTCTGACATCCTCACCTCTGGTGACAACTCTAGGAAATAAACCACTAAATATCTGATCAATGGGCTAATTATGTTAAAGAAGGTCACACTGTAGTGATTTTAACTGAAAGCTGATTTTTTTTTTCTTTTAGACAATGCTGAAAGTACCAGGTGGTACTAATGTTGCTGGTCAATATAGTAAAGATCGAGGAGTCAGAGAATGTTCTAGTTTGGAGCTTTAATGTACCGGTCAAATAACTTTGGGGAAATGAAAAAAATCTAGGTTTATTGTTGTTGAAAATGTTGTTGTTTATTTTAGACGTTTACAGTTCATATCTCTCATCTGACCTAAGTTAGCTCAGAATACAAACACTTTTAATAAATATATTAAGTTAGCTCAGAATACAAACACTTTTGATAAATATATATATGATTATATATATATATTTAATAATTGCTATTAGTATTGATATTGTTATTGTCTTTAATGTTATTATTAAACACTAAAGCTACAAGCCCTTTTTATTGACACCCCTTGGTGCTCAGTGTGGGATTGAATTTAATATTTCTGAATCTTATTCTGTATTATTAATACATTTCAATAAATATGAGGATATTTGAATTGGAATTTCAATTCCAAATTTCAAAACAGACAAATGTGTTTGGTGAATTTGGATGAATATGATTGACCTGATGTGACTTGACCACTACTGTAGTAACCTGTGCTTCAAATGAACGCCCAGCCTTACAGAACACTGATGTCACATTTCTCTAACTCATCAGAGCCTTCCTTCTCAGTCTGACATTTGGACATTTGGGTAGCAGCATTACAGCTAAGCTTAGGTAATGCCTGTTTAATTGGCACCGTAACACCAATCAGAGACGATATGCTGCTAGACTGGAGACCCACAGTCATTAGCAAAGACAAGATTTTCCGTGATGTTTTGATATTTGGCTTCAGCACGTATTCACTGGTCTTCCTAAATATTTTTTTTTCCCACAACCTCTCACAGCCTGCATACAGATTATTAACGACACTGCTGTGACCCAATTTTATTTCTCCTTATAATGGAAAAAAAGCACTTTAGTTTCTGAAGTTGTTATTTTAGAATGTGGGCTAAAATCGGACTTTGTTTTATATGGAATGTGGACTAAAAAAAGTGGATATAGACAATCGAAGGAGGGTTCATTGAAAAAGTAGGTCTTCAGTTATGAAAACAACAAAACTATTTGCCCACAAATAATCTGTTTAGTCTAAACACATATGGCATTTCCATCCTAGCATTTATTTCTTTTGTGTAAAGTGTTAAATCAGTAAAAAAAGAAAATCAGATGCAGCTAGCTTTAAACCGGTTCTCAATGCCTCACCAGCTTCAACAGGATTCCATTCAAATTTGATTAAAAATTGGATGTTTGCTCTGATTTTTAAGTGTTCCTGTGATAAGGTTGAAAAACCTTACCAAACAAAACATTAGAGCTGTCAAAGTGATTGAAGACGCCTGAGAGGTGAGTAGAAAAGTTTTAATTAATACATTTGAATACCTTTTGAAAATTTTGACAACTCTCTTAGACCCTTCGTATTTAGTCTTTTGACTAATATTTGCATTTGTATCACCAAGATTTGGTGTGAGGAATTACTAACTAAATTGAGAATTAGGACAAAAAAAAAAGAGCTGAGTTTCATTTCACTGACTGACTTTAGAAAACGCAGTTGTTGTAGTAAACACTTAGACTGTAGACGCTGCAGCTCAGTGTTCTCAATTGTTATTTAGATGATGAAAAATAGACAATCTTTGTATGATTTGAAGAAGCATTTTATTTGTAGGTCCTTTTTAATTTAAACCCATGTTAAATATTAATTTACTCAGATTTCCCTGCCTTTGTGTCCTGTCTTTGTCAACACTGGGTGGCTAATGTGTGTTGCTAAATCCAAATCATAAAGCTCTGCTTCGTCAGATGGCTGCGCTGTCGCTACTAACTAAACTTTTATGAACAGGTCTGAGTCCTCCCCTGTTCACAGTCTTTTTACCCACAGGCAGTCAAGAGTGTCTGATGGACAGTCACAGGAGGGAGACAGTCTGAGCTCTGCCATGACAAAACCACTTACACCTAGATTTTTGCCTAACTTATAATACAATGGCCACAGCTTCCACCCAGGCTAAGTAGGCTAACTATGCTAACTCCTTGTGCCTCACTTCCTCTGTGAACCTTTATCAGCCTTTTTTTTACTTGTTGCATTATACATAGCAAATGGTTGACTATTAATATAAAAAAAATAAATAAACAAAAACAAAATGTGATGATTATAACCAGTGATCTAACCATTGTCCCCATAGTGAAAGCTAGCCCCTCACCAAACACTACATTTTAATGACAACAACATGCTAATCTCAGTCCCTTATTGGTATTTATATGAAAAATATATACTATCGCAGTCTTATTCTAATGTTAAACCTGTTGAACCCTTAAATACTTTCTCACTTAGAAATGTCAGGTGAGTAACTAAAACAGGGACACAGAAACAAACGCACAAGTACACACATGTACTAGCGTTTGGAGCGTGTTTACGTCACAGGACAGGGTCATCAGGTGGTCAGGGTCATTGTTCACTCTAAATTGACAACAGGTGTGAATGTGAGTGTGAACGGTTGTCTCTCTATATGTGGCACTGTGAGGGACTTGAGAACTGTCCAGGCTGATTGTACCCCCCCCCCTCTGGACAAAGGGTTAATGCATCCCCTTGTCCCGAATCCTAAACTTTAGTAATACAGATACAAGGCTAAAATGAATTAAATGAACCCTAAATCTAAACTGACGCTAATTCTAATTTCAACTCAGAACTAAATCTTGAACTCTTGAATTTCATAGCTAGTTTGCGATCACAACGTTCTCACGAGGACAAAATGTTTCCACAACAATATTTCCTCCCAAAACAATGTCCCCAAAGGTATAGCTATACCAGGGACACACACACACACACACACTGGTGTTTGTCAGCACTTTTAAACCCTAACCCCAAAACCTACTGTTCCAAATAAATGTTTAATTTGGATTATTATCTTAACACTGATTTCACCTTAATTCTAACCATTTCTCTAAACCAAAAACATTAACCCTTAAACCACCCTCTCACTGAACGTCGTCTGAAAAATGTCCCCACAACTAACTATACCACAAACACACACCATTGGTTATTTCTCAACAGGTCTACTTTCCTTGTTTTACTCCCTGCCAGTCTCTACCTCCTTACCCCCCTCCTCACCCCCTCCAGTCTGCCTTGCTCTCTCGCTCTCTCTCTCTCTCCCTCTCTCTGCCTCCCTCCCTCACTGTCTCTCCCTCACTCTTTCTCTGGCAGCTCGACTCGGCTTGGTTTAGCTCTGCTCCCATCGCTCACTGCTCAGACCTCCGCACCAATTCCACGGCACTGCGTTTCCCGAGGTGACCGCTTCTCTGACGGACAACAACCGTGTCAGCTAACAAACTCTCGTCCGGAGCGTCGGCCGGCGCACGCACGACACGGCGTGTCTCGGAAGCGGCAGAAGCGGACAAACAAATGCTTAAGACCGGCGACCGGTGGCCCCAGATCCCGCGGGGAGGGAGACGAGCAGCGCAGTAATGGGACAGTTCTCGGGAGGATGCTACCTGAGTTTTGCCGCCCTCCTCCTGCTCTTCCTCGGCTCACGCGTACCGGCCACGTTAGCCAGAGGTAAGTGCCGATCCAAGCGCAGTGTTTGCTCCTGCAGACGCGTGCGGTTTCGCTGACAATGTTTGTACTTGTGCTGATGAGTTGGTTTGTGTTCTGAAAAGTGATATTTGACGCGCTGTCAGCGGTGTGTGCCGCTGCAAACGGACCACAGAGACGGGCTGCGTTCTTTGTGCCAAGTTTGTGTCAGTCATTATGAAATAAGTCAGGGCACAGGCAGGTGTGATTTTATTTTGAAAAAAAAGAAGAAGAAGAAGGCGAAGCTAATTTAATTTGCATTATTTCACCGTGTCTGTCTATATAGCACATGTGTTAGGACTCTTCATTGAATATATTTTCTTTCTACCATATGGTACCTTGCATAACTGCCATCCGATTCCACCGAATACCCGTTGCTGCCCGTTTGACCAATCAGCAGTGAAGTATCTGATCACCTGTCTTATGTACTTCTTTGTCTAAAGCTTTTGTTTCCCAACAACAACATAAACGTCTGTGTAATAATTAGACATATTTCCCGATGACCAACTCCCATCATGCATCTTCAATTGGTTCATATTATTGACCAACACCTTTAAGATTTTTTTTCATCACATTTTAGTATTTTCTAAATTCGTTTTATGTATTATCACAACCACAACTGTTCAACTGGACCAAACCATGACTCCTTAAATTGGGTTTAATTTCTTTGTCTGACGCTGTATGATGTAGGCAGAGCAAATGCTGCAATGTTTAATTAGTCATTTCCTGAGAATGTTTCCCTTCAGGACGGTGTTGTATTCCTAACCTGCTCCAAATACGTTGATTGTTTTATTTATTTTTTAAATGGTATTCATATGCAGTACAAGCTTCATCAAGGTTACGTACCATAAATATCACAGCATGCCCACTGTACATGTGGAGTATGATGTGCATTTGGTCAGTTCTGTTTTTTACTTTTGACATTTTTATGTACCTTAAATAGAAGATCATCACTTTTGTGGACCTTCCATAAACGTTGATGATAAACTGTCATGTTTATTATTTAATGCTGTCAAAAGCCTGCCAGGTCAACAGGTGGCAATATAACCCTGTCTGTAAAGTGTAGTTGGCCAATCAGAAGACGCAAAGACAAAGATGTCTCTTCTTGCTGTAGATTAAACAGCAGAGGTCTCTCAAAGGTCTCATTGTCTGCAGAGCTGCAGCCTCTCTTTGACCATATCTGGTTTTCTGGACTCTGGAGTATTTTAGTGACAGTACATTGTCTTTTGTGACAGACACTGCTTGAATATTTTATACATACATACATACATATATATATATATATATATATATGTATGTATGTATATTTTCTTCTGTTGCACAAGTTCTCGCGGGAGCTGCATTTCCATGTCACTAACCTATTTTTGGCTGATTAAAATAAAGACACATCAATAATGTAAATGCGTAATAGCGAGTTGTGCCTGTGCATGCTAGATGCAGTTTTTATATGCTGCATAGATAATGACGGATGATAGATATGCAGTAATAGATAATAAAGTATGGGCATGGCTCTTTGCCAGGCTGTAAAATAAATATTTATGTCTCAGTGTTATGGATGTCAACACTCAAATATCCGTGTAAATAATGCAACAGCTGCTGGCTTGACTAAGTTGCAGAGTATTGTCGTAACAGAAATACATTTCGGTGCCCACTTGTTTCGTATACTCTGTCTTACACCAATAAATATAATTCATTAGCCAAACTGAAGCTGGGATGTAATTCTCCAATCTGAAGGTTTTTATAGGAATAAACTTGAAAAAAGAAAAAAGTAGAAACTTAAAGCACAACGGATTCATTATCTCTAACTAAGGATACACTAACAGCAAGGAGTGACATCTGGACTCATGTTTGTGTGAAGTCAGCAGTTGACAGAGTTAGCAGCTACGTCACAGCTTGAAGATGTCTGCATGTTAACACAGTGCATCACACATTGTTGTGGTTGTTGAGCTCTTCAGGTCTTCACAAAGTGACAGTTGTTTCCACAGGAAGCCAAAAATCATTCTGCCACTTTTTCTTGGCATCACTTACATAAATAATCGCAGGAGCGACAGTTGGCGTACACGTCGCATGATCGTATTATTGCATTGGTCGCAGATAATCTGTCGAAATCACTGTGTGACTCTTCGGCAGTAACTCATTAATTAGCTGTGTGATACAGTACCAATGTGCACAGTTCAGTGATTGCGAGTTCAGTTTCTGCTACTGATTGTGAGACTTGTTTCCTCCAAGGGCTAATATATTTTTTAAGGTCCCTGACCCTTTTTTGTAGCTGAGCATTTGTGATTGTTGAGGTCTGGCGACTGATATTAAAACCATACACTGTAAAACTGAGAAAAACGTATTAAAAAAATAATAATGATACAGCTGCTGCAATAAATCCACATTTTATTTGCTGTGAACTTCACTTTCTTTTAATTTGAAGGCGAAGAACCATGTACACATAATGAAATGTGTCCTCGGCATTTAACCCATTCTTGGGATTTTAGTGATTGCTCAACATGGCACAGCTAGTCAGGCGGGATTCGAACCTGCGAGCCTCTGACATCTCAATTCTTTTACCACTTATTTAAAGACGCTATACAAAGACTTTTATTTTGACAAGTTTCTACCCTATCAATGAAGACAACGTGGTCAGTTCTTGTTGGCTCTGATTCATATTCTTTTTCTGCTGCTCAGTGTCAAACGAGCCACTTCCCCAGTACTGGGTCGGGGCTCGTTGATCTGAGACCTCTGCTCTAAAGAATAGAGAATCCAGATGTTAATTAGTGATGGAGGTATGTCTTGTCAATCTTAAATTACCACGAGTCATACTGGCACTCACTGCCTGACAAGTTAGACAGTAATGCTCTCAATACTGTAAGGTCATCAGTGTGAAATCAATACATGTAGCCTCCTCCACGCCACTGCTGTGACAACACTTTTAGAACACTGTAGCCTGCAGCGAGGCGCCACATTTTACAAATGCAAAGAAGCCCGAGCCTGTCAGGTTAGAAGACAGATGTCGGATTGATATCATCACACAGAAAATTAGAAATAGGCTAACTGCCACTCCAGCTCGTGGCAGCCTGTAGCCACACTGTCACATAAGGCAGGGGAACATTGCAAGATGCTAGAACAATGCACATCTTTTTTTATTGTGATTTTTTTTTTTTTCATGTCACAGAATTTCTTGTCAATTCAAGGTGAATGAAATTTGACAGGCTCCCATTCATTGTGGCTCAACGTTGGAGCTGCAGCCTTGTAGGCGATTTTACCTACTGCTTCTGTTTTGAGCATGGTATGAGTAAAAAATACTCAAGAGACAGAGAAGCAGAGAGAGGGGACTAAAGGGCAATGGAGTCATCTCTGCCATGTTTTATTTATTCCAAAAAAACTGACTGCTAGACTCCTTCTCAAGCTCAGGCTTTGATTTGCCTGACATTTCACATGGGCTGAATCCACCAGCAATGTTGGGCTAGTATTCACAGTTGTTTCTTTTCTGTAGGAGATTGCACACTGGTCACTGCCTAGTCCCAATCTTGCATTATTCAGAGGGAACCCATTTTTTTTTTATCCAGCTCACCAACCCCCTCTCTCATCATCTTTCTTCACATTCAAAGGAAACTCGTCTCACCAGCGGCCAGACAGGGGCGAAAATGCTTTCTGAAACCAGAAAGGTAGAAAAAAAACTGGAAATGACGAGGGATGCTTTTTTCGGGGGAAAAAAAAGAACTGGAAATGACGAGGGATGCTTTTTTCGGGGGGAAAAAAAAAAGAAAAAAAATATCTCTAGAAGTAAATATACTCATTCATTTTTCAATGGAAGCTTGGAAACCATGCTTTGGATGTGATCCTGTGTAGTCCAAATGCGTCTGTTGTTTTTCTGTTTCTTGGATATTAAAGCTTTGGAATGTGGTTTGTGAAGTAGGTTTTGTTGAAGACGTTCCCCAGAGAGGCTGAATTGATTGGAACACAATCCTTTTACGTTGGCTCACATAAAAAGAAAGGAAAGAAAATGCTTTTATTATATATCTGTTGATGTAACGTTATACTCTGATCACTCTCACTGCCGCTAACTGCCTCAAATCTGTTGCCTCAAATAAAAGTTCTGACTTTTATTTTGGATTTCTTTGTCACTGTCAGATGTAGTCCCATCCTTAGCTGTAGGATCATGATTTAGTAGTGAATGTTTTGGCCTTGCACCTCGTGCTGTTTCCGGTTTTCTGCTTCATATCTGATAATACCGACTCTTCTGTGATACTTGTGACGCAGCCTCTAAATGCAGACCTCAGCTAAAACCTCCAGATGAGATAAGATGTTAATGAAATCCTGCCTCCTTACCTCCAACTGTATACTTTCTGGACAAACAGTTCCCACCTCATTGAAGAACTTTTGTAGGTTATTTACTGCTGATTCGATGGTCCCGTGAAGTGGTGACAGTTGCTACATAAACAATTTAAACCCTTCTCTTAATAAAAGGCTAGAGACATAAAAAGTCCTTTTATTTTGCCAAGCAGAGCAGCTTACCTTACTCGCTTAGAACAGCACACCAGAATGACTTATAGTGTGATGTGAGAATGCTGGCACTGATGTACAGTAAGGGGGCACCACAGCACAACAAGGCAGCATGTAAATTAGATGTCATAAAGTTCTATGATAATAAGATTTTTTTTTAATGAAACAAAACCATTTCTCTACACATCCTTTGAGTCTAAACACTTCTGAAATACAGCGGCGGTTTCCATCAGAGAATCCCTTCTCTGTAGAACAAAGGGCGTGTCGTTGGTAGAAGAAGAAGAAGAAGCTGCTTCTGTGCCTCGGCTAACCTGAGTTCTTTTCAAATAATCTTTCAGTTTTGAGAAAAGAAAGAAATTCTGTTGGAGTTAGATCAAATGTTGTTGCTTCAATGAATTCAAAAGGTTTTCCTTCAAGTCTCGGTAAAAATTTGATGTTAGCTGCGGTTTCGGAACGGGTGATTTGAGAGGGTTTAAAGAATTGATCAAATA